AGTATGGAGGTTCCTCAAAAAATTAAAAATACAACTACTACATGATCCAGGAATCCCACTACTGGGTATATATCTAAAGGAAAGAAAAGCAGTACATTGAAGAGATATCGGCTCTATGTTCACTGCAGCATTATTTACAATAGCCAAGATATGGAATCAACCTAAGTGTCACACAGGCACAGAGAGGCAAATACCATTTGACCTCACTCAAATGGGGAATCTAAAAAAGCTGATCTCACAGAAAGAGAGTAGAATGGTAGTTACCAGAGTTTGGGCAGCTTGTGGGGAGAGTGTTGGGGAGATGTCGATCAAAGGATATATAATTACAGTCAGAAGGAGTAAGTTTAGAGATCTATTATCATATATTGCATAAATCTATATATTGCATTATATTGTATTCTTTTTTTTTGAGTCGGAGTCTCACTCTGTTGTCCAGGCTGGGGTGCAGAGGCATACTCATGACTACCACAGCCTCAACCTGCAGGGGTCAGGCAATCCTTCTGCCTTAGCCTTCCAAGTATCTGGAACTACAGGCATGTGCTACCACGCCCAGATAATTTTTTTATTTCTTGTAGAGATGAGATCTTGACAAGTTGCCCAGACTGGTTTTGAACTCCTGGGCTCAGGTAATCCTCTCGCCGCTGCCTCCCAAAGTGCTGGGATTACAGGCGTGAGCCACCGTGTCAGCTATGTATTGTACTCTTAAAAAATACTAACAAAGGGATGTTAAGTGTTCTCACCACAAAAATGATAACTATGTAAGACAATGCATATGTTAATTAGCTAGATTTAACCAGTCCATGGTGTATATATACTTCTATTTGCTGTACACAATAAATACATACAATTTTACCTGTCAAAAAAAATACATTTTTAAAAAGAATTTAAAAGGGGATTTTAAGGAACATTATGAAATGATACCTGAAATTAAAAAAGACTGAAGAAAAATTTGAAAGAGAAGATAATCCAGGGTGTACTTGACCTGCCAGGTGTTAGAATGCAAAGCTACAATAAGATTATGTGGCACTGGTACATGAGCAGAATGGCAGAGTAGAACTACAGAGAAGATACAAAAAGATCCACAAGTTACCCCCATTCATTTCATGCTATTTATAGATTAGGACTGAGAGTCAGAGCTGGTAAGAACTTATCCCAAGGCTGCAGCAGCCCAAGGCGATGGAGCTGAGATCCAAATATAGTGACCAAAGCCATCCTGCCCATGAGGGTAGTACGCAGAGGGCCAAACTTCAGATACTCTGAACATGTTGCAACTTGAAGCTTAATTAGGTAAATTGGAAAGTGGAGTGCATCAGACAGTTCCCAAACCTCATCCCACATTGTTCCTTGTCTTTCATATTTTAATCTTTTGAAGTTACTGTCCCTTAAAGAATTTGATATAAGCTGTATCACATTTTTCAAATAAATTTATGGTACAGGTTTTTCACTAGCACCTTGAGGCCCAGCCCTGGATTGAATAGGGTAAAGGGACTCCAACCTGGTACATCATCAAAATTATTTGATGAACTTTAAAAAATGACTTTGCCCAAACCCATCCCAGGCAAGCCTGGGTCTCTAGTGATTTGGGAATCTATAAAAGCTTCCCAGGAAATTGGCACTTGTAGCCAAGCTTCAGAGCGAGGTCCTCAAGAATCTCATCCTTAACATTTATAACATTTTTCATACAATGGTACACCTTCCTTGAAGTGATCACACCATACTGTGACAACAATAAGTAGAATATGGTAGGAGAAAAAGTACTGCTTAACACATTGAGAAAAACATTCTCCAAACTGTAAGAATTGCTGCACACTATTCACTTAGTGGTTGTTTTATAATGCTGTAGTCATTAGATACAGACATGTTTTGAATGTTTAATATGCAGCACTTCACAGCTGATATAGCTGTCTTGGAAGAAGAAATAAGATCTGAAAAGGGAGAATGAACAAGGTAAATTAAAACTACAGTTTAGAGAGCCTTTCAATTTGGTTCTATCAGTTGGTTGAGAGTGATGTTCAGGGTCAATTTGGTGCAGAAATGTTACGTTTTGTGGTTGATTTGTTATCTAAAAAATCATTGTTCCCTTATATAATTCAGCATAATTCTAGAGAAAATCAAGATGACTTTACAAGAAACAATGATGCAATTAGGTGTGAGTCACACAGATGGATGCAAGTGGCCTCTGGAAAAAGGGCTTGTGATCACAGGCTTTCCTAACCTTCATTTTCTGTGACAGTTGGTGACATTCAACCATAATAAGACCACAGAGAATGTACAATCTGTTGTGACTCAGCTAACCTGGATTTGTGCCTCCAAGAAGACAGAATGCTTTAACATGGCTGAAATTGTTCAGTTCTGAAATATATTTAGAAGTCTTTAAAAACAACAACAAAAAACTAGAATTGATAGAATCTAAGAACTGATGCTTTAAAAGAAAAAGCGAATGCAAATTACTAAATTGTTAATACATCTACTCAAGAAAAAAATGGAACAGTTTTTGAAAAAGGAAACAAGGTCAGCTAAAAATGCTTTATTCTAAGAAGCAAACATGATAATCTCTTTTCTCTCACACTCAGCAAACTGTGGGTTCACTTCATTTTAAAAACTGAAACCACCAAGGTGAATGAATTGCCTGAGCCTGCAGGTTCGAGACCCACCTGGGCAACTTGGCGAGACCTCATCTCTATAACAAATCAAAAAAATTAGCTGGGCGTGGTATTGCACGCCTGTTGTTCCAGCTACTGGAAGGCTGTGGCAGAAAGATCACCGGAGCCCAGCAGGTCGAAGCTACTGTGGCCAGGAGCGGCCACTGCACTCCAGTCTGGGCGACAGAGTGAGACTCCAACTCACCAACTCAAAACAAACAAACAAACAAACAAACAAACTGAAACCTATAAACTATTTACAAAATTTCATTGGTTAGTGAAAGTAATAAATTCACAAAAAGAAAATTAAGATCACCTAAAATTTTTATTAAAACTATCATTTTCTGAGCTTTTCCTTTCAGGTGTTTCACATATGCATTCATGTATGATCAAATAGATACAGTTAAGTAACGTGTAATTGCACTTTGACTTATCAGTTACCTCCCCATCACAGACTCCAAAATCATGATTTTTGGTGATTACATAATGTTCCCTTTAGTTAATGTGTTATGATTTTCTTTGCTACTGCCCTGCTGTTATACATTTAGGTTCTTTCCCAGATAGTCCTAATTTTAGACCATTCTGCTTGGAATATGTGCCTGCATATGCTTGTTTTCTTTTTTTCTTGTTTGTTTCTTTCATGGAAGGTGAATTCCCAGGAGTGGGGTTTCTGGGTCACAGCTTCCAACTTCGTAGTGCATCACCAGATCGCTTTTCAAAAGGTTTGTACTGGTTTGAAATGTCCCCAATATAGAAGCCATACCAAGGATGTTTTACATAGTTGGTTAATCTCTGCAACTAATCAGGGAAGTGGTATCATTTCCTACATTCTATGAAAAGACAGAAGGAGGGTCAGGAAATTAGGTAAGTTATCCAAAGTCACAAAAGAGACCGCAGAACCATATTTCCAACCCCAAAGACCTGCTACTTCTCTGAACACCTGAATATGTCAGGTTCTGGACAACCTTCCAGCAGGGGTTGTTGTTACTATTACTGCTAGTTTTATTAATTTAAAAGACATAAAATGATAACTCAAAATTACTCTTATTTGCATTTTATTCCGTGATTCATTTCACCATTTATCAATTATAATCTTGATATTTTCATTTTACAAGTTTGAAAAACTTGTGTCTTAAAAAAATAATAAATCACATCCAAGCTCTCTGCTTTCTCTCTCTCTCTTTCAGGTTACCTTTTTTCACCGTAAGAAATTCTCAGTGTTTGTGTGGCTAAGATTGCTCCTTTCCATTGGTGAATTTTTTCTTTTTTCTGCAAACCTAACAGCGTTCTTACTGTTTCCAGCGGTCTGACATTTTTATTGTTTCCTGTTCCTGTTTTTTCTGATAATCATATCTGTAAAAACCTTTAATCCTATTCTACCTGGAGTTTTCCGTAAGGAAAAGAGAAGTATCTCAAATGTCTTGCATGTGGGAAACTGTTTATTAAACCATGATGCTCTAAGTACAAGAAATAATGCAGCGATAAAGAGCATCAAGATCACGGCGATGAAATCGCACTGCGCTGTGTACGAATCTTGGAGGCGAGGAAACAAAAACAGAAGGCGGTGTGGCTTTGCGATGGTGTGGATGGATGTGACGGTGGTGGAATTACGCATTAAAAAATAACTACCTGTTACAGCTACTACGAAAAGAAAAGGGCAAAAAATCCTTAAAGGACAGTAAACGTGACTTCCTCCCCGCGGAAATGTCACGACCGTCTCTCCCACGAAGCGTCAAAGGCGCCTGCCGCACAGGGGGTGAGACCGGGTTACTCCAGGGCCGCCGCCCGGCGCAGACCCCCTCCACTGGAGCCCCTGGCAGGCCCGGACGCCAAGCCCAAGCTCCCCGGGCCTCGGCCACACCGGCCGCGCGAATGAAGGGCGGGACCTCCCG